CGGCAGCCGCATTAGGCAGGGTTGGGGAATGTTTCTGGTCAGGGGCAAATCGGCCAACAATAACAGCAATGGGCCAAGTCCCAGTCCGGTATGGGGTGGTGGGGATAGTACTCTGGCAGTGGGGACAGTACTTAGCTGGCGGGTGGGTGAGCGGCATCAGGGCGACGGTCGTCAATCTCGGCCTTCCTGCGCCTCACGGCGGCGTTGTGCAGGTCTCGGCGGTGATCTTCCCCCACGTCGGCGGGGTGCGCGTTGCGGCCTCTGGCCGGGCCCCAGTGGCCCCAGGATCCAATCCGGTATTGGTGTAGGGGGGAGTCCAAGTTCTTCCAGAAAGGCGGGGGCCTCCTCCGGTCCGCGGAGTGACACCCAGCCATTCCTGTGCCTTGCCGATAGGGCAAACGGGAAGCCCCATTTGTAGGGGATGTTGCGGTCCCTCAGCAAAGACGTAATGGGCCGCAATGCCCTCCTAGCGTCCAGGGTGGTCGGGGACAGATCGTTGTACAGCGAGACTTGTGCTCCATGATAGTCCCAGGTGGGTTGGGCCCTGGCCGCTTTCATGATGGCATCCTTTGTCGCAAATGAATGGATGCAACAGATTATGTCTCTGGGGCCGTCCTCGAGTGATCGGGGGCGTAGGGCCCTATGTGCTCTCTCACACCTTAGTGCTAGGGAGGTGTCCGCTGGCAGAATCATGCGGAATAGGGCCGTTAGGGTGTCCTCAACGTCTTCCTCGCCTTCTACTTCGGGCAGGCCACGGACCCTGATGTTGCATCTACGGCCCCGGTTATCAAGATCTTAGACCGCTCTCCGTAGCTGCAATAGTAGGACACCCTGTCGTGCTACAGCCGTGTCGGTAGCCACCAATCTGGCAGTATGGGCCTCGTGGGAGTGTTCAAGCTCCTGTATTCGGGTACCTTGTGCCGTCACCTCTGTGCGTATGCCGGCCATTTCCGCCCTCAGCGCGTCCTGGATGGTGGTGGTCAGGACCAACAAGTCTGCCTTCGTGGCCATAGAGGCCGCAATCGTGCGCAGTTCGTCCCCAATCCCCTCAAGCGTAGAGGCAGGGGTGTCTCCGGTCGCGGCTGAGTGCGCCGCCATCTTGGGGTCTCCGGCCTCGTCGCGTGTGTCTGCCGGCGTCTGCAGAAAGCCGTCCATCGGGCCATAAGATTGACCAGCCTGGGAGCTCCTGGGTGTCCCAGTGGGGTCACCTCTACGGTTTCGTCCCATGTGTGCTGATGTGGGCTAATAATTAGGGCTTTCGCGGGGTCGGAGGAGCGGAGCTCACAGTTCAAGCCTCCATCCCGGTCGACGTCCAAGCCACGCCCCCTTGCTGTTTTCTTATGTACTTCTTCTCTCCTCTATGGGCACAGTATTTGTAACCAGGGAATACTCATGACATAATAGGTTATCCTCTATATATATATACATTTTAGAATTCCTAGCATTAATATGACCATAGAATGATTCATGTCTTGTGTATATGAAGTTAATGATATAGTGTGCACTATTTATCTGATTTATGTATATATTGTAATATTTCACATTTGATATTTGTTTCTTTTACAATGCCTTTTTAAATTACCTTTTTATCAATTAAGAATTTCTACTAATTAGCAGTAATTGATTGATTGATTTCTTAGTTGTTAGTGTTTGTTATATAAGCACATTTTGCACCATGTGGTGTCAGCTTGAAAAAGACCTTTCCGGTCGAAACGTTGCGTTGCATTCTGTCATAATAAATCTGCCTGCGGCTTGAAGTTGGAGTGCCTGTGAGTTTTTTCCTCTTGGATTACTGTACTTAATCCCAGTCCCGACCAGCTGAGATTGGGGGTCTGGCTCTTGAAAAGGGAAGGCTCCTACAATTAGGATTGTCATTGCTTATTATCAGATCCTTATACACCCATGGGCGTCCGCAGGAATTTTTCCGGGGGGGGAGGGGGGGCATAATTGTAATGACATCCATGCTTGGTACCTTTTTGACAGTGTCATGAAAGGGAAGGGGCATAGCCATTATCACATAAAGCCAGGATGAATAGCGTTTTCACAACTATGGTGTCAGAAATATATGTTTGTATTCCTGACACTATAGTGTTCCTTTAAGCAAATTAAAGGACCATTCTACCTTTGTGCTCCTTGCTGTCCCTTTCTGCTCCTTGCTGTCCCTTTCTGCTCCTTGCTGTCCCTTTCGGCTCCTTGCTGTCCCTTTCTGCTCCTTGCTGCCCCTTCCTGCTCCTTGCAGGCCCTTCCTGCTCATTCTCCTACTTTACCTTTGTGCTCCTTCCAGCTCATTTCTGACCCTTTCTGCTCCTTCTACTTTACCTTTGTGCTGCTTTACCTTCCAGCTCCTTGCTGACCCTTTCTGTTCATTTCTGTTCCTTTGTGCTCCTTCTCCTACTTTACCTTTTGTGCTCCTTGCTGTCCCTTCCTGCTCCTTGATGTCCCTTCCTGCTCATTTCTGTTCCTTCTCCTTTTCTTACCTTACCTTCCAGCATCTTGCTGACTCTTCATGTAGGCTGTCTCCCCATCCCTCACTTCTATAGGCGTGCGCATGGGGTGTGTCGGGTGTGCCTGGGCATACCCTAATCCCCGCGGCACGCCAATGGATTGAGACCGGCAGGGGAGATCTCTGGATCTCCCCGGTCGGCTCATGCAGAGCCGACGCTATCCGAGCGGCGGCTCTGGTCTAAGCCTCCATGGGCCGGCGGGGAGATCAAAGTTCTACCTCACCGGTCCACAGCAGCATGGAGGGAGGCAGCAGAAAACCCGGGCTAGAGTTCACTCTCCACTGAACCACCAGGGAAGGCAGCAGGACTAGTCTGCCCCCACCTCCACCCAAACATACAGCACACACAGCCCACAAACAGCACCCACACACACACACAGCACCTACACACATACATCACCCTCGCACACACAGCACCCACACACATACAACACCCACACACACCCAGCACACTAACAGCATCCTCACAAACACACACAACACCCGCACAGCACCCACACACAAACAACACACTCTCATACAAACAGCACCCTGACAAACACACAACACCCGCACACAAACAGCACATTAACAGGACCCGAACAAACACGCACACACAAACACCCTCTCTCACACACACACACACAGCACACTACCAGTTCCCTCACAAACAGCACCCTCACACACAGCACACAGCAGTGTGTGTGTATACATAAATATATAACAGATATATATATATATATATATACACACACATACATATACACATGGCCTGTGTTTGTGCTTTAGGGTGCACACCCTAATGCAATAAGCTGCGCACGCCTATGCTCACTTCCCTAATCTATGGGCTGCCCCCCCATGCCTCACTCCCCTAATCTATAGGTTGCTGCCCCCCCCAAAAAAATCTATAGGCTGCTGCCCCCCCAAAAACCTATCTATAGGCTGCTGCTCACCCTTAATCTATGCTGCTGCTGCCTCAAGTATATAGGCTGCTGCCCCCAAAAATCTATAGGCTGCTACCCCAAGTATAGGCTGCTACCCCCAAATCTATGAGCTGCTACCCCCCAATCTATAGGCTGCTGCCCAAAAATCTATAGGCTACTGTGCCCCCCAAATCTATAGGCTGCTGCCCCCCCAAATCTATAGGCTGCTGCTGCCCCCCCCAAAATCTATAGGCTATCTCAAACCCTCCCCCCACTTACCTGATCTGTAGGCTGTCTCTGTTGCCTGCATGTGTTGTTCCCCTGCGGTTTCAATCAGATAAGAAGCAGGGATAAGATGCAGCTTCCTATCCCTGTCTCTCTCCATACACAGCGCTACTGGCCGGCGCCGGTATTGCAGTTCATTCTAAATCTCACACGAAAAAAGCAGAACAAGCTGAAAAATCCAGGGGGGGGCAAGTGCCCCCCCTGCGGACGCCCATGCATACACCAGAACCATGTAAATTGTCTGTGTTTCTGGATTTCTGGCTGTTACCACACAGGATGGATCTGTTGAGTCAAGGTCCTGTACTTCATTCCAATCCCGACCAGCAGAGATTGGGGTGCTGGCTCTTGAAAAGGAAAGGCTCCTATAATTAGGATTGTCAGAGTCAGTGACTAATACTCTTCTTTAGTCACGGAAGCATTCTACTTCTAGTTGTTGTCATCATATTTGGGGGACGTTCAAATCCCTGGCAACTATCAGTGAAGTGGACTTCTTGCATCCTGCCCAGAACCATATCCTGGAATTTCTTCAAGTTGGGTTAGATAAAGGGCTGAGTCTGAGTACACTAAAAGTTTACTACAGAGTAGTATTGCATCCTAATCTGGAATTTCTGCATAAGGTAGTCTCTAACTTTCATCTTATGCAAGATATAGTTCTACCTTCCTTTTTCCCTGTTCCATCATATGATTTGGAGATGAAACTTTATCGTTTGGATATGATGGAATGCTTGATTAAATACTTGGCAGTATCTTAGTCATGTAGAAAGTCTGATCAACTGTTCATTATACCTGTGGGTTCAAGAAAAGGTGAAGCTGCTTCGTCTTCTACCTTATGAAGATGGATTTCTAATATCATCATGAAGGCTTACTCTCTTAAGGGTCCTACTCCTCCTGAGAAGATTAAATCTTATTCTAGTAGGTCATTGGCAACTTCATGGGCAAACTAGGCAGAGTTTTCTTCTGATGATATCCGCAGGACAGCTACTTGGTCTTCTCCTATGACCTTCATTAAGCATTACAAATTGGATGTGGCATGTTCTTCCACACAATTTGGAAGAAGTATTTTGGCCTCTGTTACTTCTGTGTAACAAATGTGTGTTTTTGCAGTATTATTAAGTTTCTTGTAATTTGCGTCCCCTCCCCCTCTCCTTTTTTTTATTGTTTAGCTTGGGCATTACCCATATATGATGTTGCCATGATTACCAGGAATACGGAAATGTAATGCAATATATCATCTATATATTGCCACCAATGCAGAATGTATGTGCTAAACAATGGGTGAGAGCTCACTGCATGTTTTTACATTGTTTGAAATCTTACCGGTGTCTGCCAGGAGCCGCTCGCAAGCTCCACTATTAACCCTGGAGCTTCTGTTAAAGAGACACTACAGTCACCCAGACCACTTCAGTTCAATTAAGTGGTCTGGGTGCCAGGTCCCCCAGGTTTTAACCCTTCAGATGTAAACATAGCACTCGGGAGCGGACGTCGGCAGGGGAGGTCACCAGAGTCGAGGGAGCCCGGCGCTGGATAAAGGTAAGTGGCTGAAGGTTTTTTTTTACCCCTTCAGTGCCAAGGGAGGGGGGCCCTGAGGGTGGGGGGTCCTAAGGATGATATAGTGTCAGGAAAACGAGTTTGTTTTCCTGACACTATAGTGATCCTTTAACTTTATTAAGCTATGCACTGCAGTGCAAGACTAACTCAATGGCCGACAGCTTTCCCTAGTAAATATGTACTAAGATTTTGTTAATTTGTGTAATTCGGAGATTTCCTGATTCTTCACTTTTCCTTTTATACCATAAACCTTTGTTCACAGAAGAATTTATTTTTATGTTAGCATTTTATTAACTTTTTTGGGTTACTATCAGTGGCGGCTGGTAAAGTTTTAAAATGGTGAGATGCCAGTTTGAAGCTTTGGGACCTTTCAACTAGAGCATGAGTGTCTCAGATCCAGGGCCAGCACGTCCATAAGGCAGCACAGGCAGCCGCCATAGGGCGCCAGAGCAGGGGGGGGTGCAAAAATCCAAATCCTCTGCCTCTAGCTGGAGACGCTGATTTTTCAACTTACCTGTCTCTCTGCAGCAAGGGAAGTCGTCCGGCCTCTCCTGATAATGTCAGGAAGAGGGGTCGTTACTTTCCCTGCTCTTCTCCCAGGACCACTGGGGAGTCTGGGAGAAGAGCAGAGGAAGTCACGCCTCCTCCTGACATCATAAGGAGAGGCCGGACGACTTCCCAAGCTGCTGTGTGTTGCCTCCAGCTCCTGTTCCACTCCTCTCTGACCCAAGTTAAGCCTCAGAGAGGGGAGCACCACAGACCCTGTCCAACTTCCTCAGCCTCTGACTCCCTAAGGCAGCCGTCCATAAGGCAGCACAGGCAGCCGCCATAGGGCGCCAGAGCAGGGGGGGGTGCAAAAATCCAAATCCTCTGCCTCTAGCTGGAGACGCTGATTTTTCAACTTGCCTGTCTCTCTG